GACATTCTTTTTGAACTTCTCTCTGGGCCAGTCTTGCTCATCTGCCTCACCCATTGGCAAGTCCAGGCATGTTAATTAACCTCTCTTGTCTCTCTTCTTCTTCATTTCACCCATTATCTGTTCCACAGCACGACAAGCTGGGCAAAGGAAATGGCATTTCTGTACCGTCACATTTTGTGCTTATTTGCAATGTAGCATCTATAAACCACTCCATAAACCTTGGTCTTAGAACATACACACATGCAATTTCATTTATACTGTGTACAAAACTGGGGCAGGGAACTGAGATATAGCTGCAATTTTGGTTATACAAATATATGATTAGCATCAGTATTATTTAATATTGATCAAATGCATGTTTTATTTTTATTATTAATAATAATTTGCATTTTCTACCAAAGCCAACTTGAAGTAATTAATGATTATTCATGACCCTGCACCAATAGCCAGAGACCTCTGTGTGCTTCACCAGCACCTAGATCACTCCTTTTATCTATACTGTATGCATATCTAGCATGATTATTTTTGTTCAGTGAATCCCAGAAAAATTCAAAACCTGGTAGAATGCTTTTCTAACTATATCTTTTACATCTTTGTTCCTTAGGCTGTATATAAAGGGGTTGGCCATAGGAGTCAGGACTGTGTACACAAGAGAGAGTATCTTATTTAGATCTTTAAATTTACCAGTTGTTGGTAAAATATAGACAATCATTAAGGATACATAAAAAAAAGAAACTACAGTGAGGTGGGAAGAACAAGTGGAAAATGCCTTTTTCCTACCAGTTCTGGATGGGATTCTCAGAATGGTGCTGATGATGAAACCATAAGATGCTACAGTTATGATAAATGTGGGCACAATCCCTATGGATGAGGTTACAAAAGCTGCAGTTTCAATAACTGAAGTGTCACTGCAAGAAAGTCTTACAAGGGGTGTGAAATCACACAAGAAATGATCAATTGTAAATTGGCGGCAAAAAATGAGCTGCCCTGACAGACATGTTAAGATGGTTATAAGCAGGAAACCAGTTATCCATGATACTGAAACCAGCAGGGTACATGTTCTGTCACTCATAAGAGTAACATAATGCAATGGTCTGCATATTGCTAAGTAGCGATCATATGACATCACTGCCAACAGATAACATTCTGTAGCTGCCAAGAATGAAAAGAAATGCATCTGGAGAATACAGCCCCAAAGAGAAATTGCTTTGTTCCCTGTAAGAAAACTGGCCAGCATTCTGGGCAATATAGATGAGGTGTAGCATATCTCTAAGAAGGAGAAATTTGCCAGAAAGAAATACATAGGTGTGTGGAGGCGTTGCTCAGCAACAACTAGTGCAACAATTAGAAGATTTCCAGAGAGAGTCACAATATAGATGGCTAGAAATAGCAGGAAGAGGGACATGTTAACGTTCTCAACATTCCCAAATCCGAGGAGGATGAATTCCGTAATATGTGTTCCGTTTTGCTCTTCTAGACTTCCCACAAGCTGCATCTACATTTTTAAGAAACAATCAAATGTTGAGTCAAGGGAAAGTCAGGGCTCCTTGAAGTACTGCTCAGTCTCTACTCAGAACACATGCATGTCATATCAAATATCTACCTTTTGGATAGGGTTGTATTAATTCAAAGCTTGCATAGCTGCCTGGAGCAAGTTCGTTGCATAATGTTCTCACTTTGTGTAAGCAGTGGACTGCAGTAAATTTGGGGGGATCCATTAATCAGAATATGCTATGTATAATGAGGAATGCATTCCATACAAAGATAAAGGACTGAATCTAGATTGATTCCTACTTAGAGTAAAACCACTGAATTCACTAGGACTAGTTAGTTATGACTAATGGAAGTCCCATGGTTTACATTGGGTCTGCTCTGGATATGGCTAACTCTGGATCCAAATCATAATCACTTTCTTGTGTGTAAGACATAAATGGGAGGCTGGTGAGAGATAATAAAGATCTGAGTTAGTCACTTGAAGCCAGATTTGGACCAAGTTACTACTTAGTGACACAATTTAAAAAAAAAAGCTTGCATTTTTATTTTTTAAATTATTATTCTTAAACTGAAACTCTGCATGTGAGAAGAGCAATAGAAAATGCTTTTTGTTCCAACTTCTAGAAAGAATTTTCATGACTGTGCTAATATTAAAAACAACAGACATTATAGTTAAGGAAAACATATGCAATATTCTTACGACAGCTGCAGTTTGTCATATATCATTTATATTTGCAACATGAAACACCTCTAAAGGAATTAATGACTGCAGAAGAACCATATGTCAGGTTGGAGAAAGAGGGAAAGAATGAGATGAAGGGAAGGGAAGGGAAGGGAAGGGAAGGGAAGGGAAGGGAAGGGA